TGTTAACAGAGATGAATTGGAGCAGGAGTGGTTTCCAGCCAGCCCAAGGTCTGAGGCTTTGAGAGGGCAAAGCACTTCAGAGGGAGGACATGATATTATTTCAGTTGGAAATTCTCATGTACCACTTAACACAGTCAAAATGAGGRTTTTAAGGTTGGAGCCTGGATGCTGCACAACAGAAATCCCAGTGCCTGGACTGCCAGTGCAGCAAAGGGTTCAGGAGCCTTCAGGGCTGAGGGATTGCCACCTGCTGTGGGGTTCSAGAAAGTTAAATATGAAAATAAACCAGTCTTTTTTAAAGGTTAATGCCATAGTAAGTAACCACCACTTAATGTTTGAGTTTTATTATTTCCAGAAACTGTGCCTCATGGATCTACCTTGACAAAACTGAATTTCCTTGAGCTGGGGTTCTTTCACATCCTCATTTCTGTTCATTTACATCCATTCATTTACATTCATTACATCATTTACATCAACACATCTTCCTGTAGTGAAAGCACAGGCAAATATCACCAGGTTTGCACTGTGAGCAAACTGTCACAGCGCTGACAAGATCCCAGGTAATCAAAGTGATTAAGGGCTGTGACACCTCCCTCAGTCACAGCCTGCGTTTCATCTGCCCTTATCTGTGCCAGGATGAAGTCAGGAGGATGTGCCTGTCTGCACAGCAATCACACCCTTGAGAGATGCCTCTCCCAGATTCCACTGCTGTGCTTAAGCTGAAGGTTGGAATAAAGCTTGCTCAGCCTCAGTGCACTGCCTGAGAAACAACACCAAGAAACTACAACATGGAACAAAATCAGTAACATCAAACTTTTCTTGATTCTGCCCCATTCTCTGTTTCTTTGCACTCTTACCCCAACAGGGCTTGAGCTGACTTTGGGGTGGCATTCAGCACCTCAGAGAYGTCCTTGTGTCACAGATTTGGGGTTTTTAGGAGCTCAGCCTGTTTTCCAAGGGCTCAGCACAGCAATCTGATCAGTTCCCTTTAAGGAAGGAGAGTGTGAGCAGAATCCAAGCTCCWTTTTCTGSAGCCCCTGCCTTAAACAGGAGCAGRGAACAGGAGAYKGGCTTTAAACAAATGAACAACGCTGGAGTCTGGAGGAAGAAGCACACAATGCCCAGACTCATCTGCCAGGGGAGCAAACAGCAAGAAGAGATCCTTATCTTTGGAAGGGGAAGAGTCAGGGACAGGCTGAGCTCTGCCCTTGGAGATTCAGTTCCTTCCAGCCCGGGTGACTCTGCCTGGTGCTGTCAGCATTGCTCAGGACCATCCATCCTAAAGASAGTTCCCTTGCCAAAAAGCTTTTTTTTAAAACATAACTCAGCTCTGCCTAGCAGAGCTGTGCCACAAAGAGCTGGAGAGCATCAGCTTCCACTCATTCAGCTGGGGAAGAGATGAGCAGAGGAAAGAGCCTCAAAATACCTTTTTATCTGTTTTCCTCCCTTCTGAAACAGGCCTCAACTGCAAAGAACCTTTCAGCTCTCCTCTCGTTGATTTTTTCCCAGCAAACCCATCCCTCCCATCCCCCTGGATCAGTCACTGAGCATAAAATGCAGGAGAGGCCAGACAAAAACGAGGGGTTTGTTCATACAATTCCATTACAAGAAAATCTCCCTGAGACCAATGAACCCACAMAGGGATGAGCCCAAGGACCATCTACTGCCACAGCAGCCTTTTCACACAGGGATCTGCAGGTCCTCCTGGAAGCTGCACCAACCCTGGACAGCTCATCAAACACCCCCCATCATCATCATCATCATCATGCTGGAGGAAGGGCTGAGGTGCTGCTGCATGGAAATAATCCAAGCACTTTGGGGCTTGTGGCAGCTCTTGGAGGAATTTTCCCACCTGGATTATCCCAGGGAATCAACTACAGCTGCAGAACAAACATGGTCTTGGCTTGAGAGAGTTTGCAAAGTCAAACAACGTGGCTTAGCAAGGACTGCAGGGTTTTAGGAGCAAATTTCCACTCGAGTCTGTCTCATCCTTCAGCCATTCCAATTCCTGCTCTGATTAAAGACATCCCAATCCATGACAGGCACAGTGGTTTGGAGGCTGAATTCAGGACCACAGTCTAGGCATGAATTGTTCGAGTTGCAATAGATACAACCCATATTCTGAGAAACAAACCAATTRAGCTGTAAAAAAATTCATTCTCTCACTAACCAGACAGGCCCCAGGCCTCATGTGCAGGATGAAAAGTGCTTTGCCTTCCAACATTACATTCTCCTAATAGAACTGTTAGACAAATTCTGCAAATATTCAGTTACTAAACATCTGAGGAAAGCTTGTATTACTATTGAAAAGAAAAAAAAAAAAAAAAAGAAAGAGCTCCAGGCCAAGCTTTTCTAGGAGTAGAGAATTTTGGCAGCAAATACACCACCCTATAAAAGAGCTCACGTTACCACAAAGCATTTGACCTAAAACTCAGGCCACTATAAAACAGCATCCCCTATTAGGGACCCAATATGTGTACTCAGATGTGGAAAATTTGTTCTTTAGCTGTGATCCAAGACTCTCCCCTCTGCAGAGCAGCAGGTCTGAGGGGGTCAGGGGAYGCTGTGCCAGCTTGGCTGGGAGGATTTTTTCAAGTCAGTGTCAACAGCAACTCGGGTCCTGCAGCCAAGGGACACTTCCCAAGTGCCAGAGCCCAGTGGGGCTGCACAAAGCAGGAGGAGGGGGAGCACTGCCAAAACCTGACTGGCAACAAGCTTAATAAGGGCCAACGAGCCCTGGGAGTGCTTCCAGGCATTGAAGCATTAGCTCTTGGAGAGAGCCAGCRAACTTCTATCAGAGCCCAGACAAGGAGTTCAAGTGAAAAGGAGAGGTAGGCAYAGAATTGGAGGGGTTTGGCAGCAGCTGAAGCCTCTGATCAGAAACAGGCCATTATKATTTCTGTCAGCTGAGGGGCAGGCTAAGAGCAGCCACAAGGCTCAGAAGGCAGTTCCTGAAAGGGAGACATCAAGAGGGATTTTTTTCTTTCCCCATTACATTCAAAAGCTGCTTACATTCATWCGCTGAAGGCTCCATCCTTCATGACCATCTCATCCCATCACCAATTCTACTTGCTGCTGGTTTTCTGACATCTCAAAAAATGCACCCCAATTCTGTTACAAACCTTTCCATCCCCTTCTGCTCAACTCAGAACACGACTGAAAGCACAGCTCATGAGTTCCAGTCTTGCCCTGCTTTGCCCCTTTGCAATTTCTCCTGTATTTTAGGCACAACAGCTCTAAAAAGATTCTTAATGACTCTGCCCACAGCAAGTCAAGGAGCTCCTTCCAGTGAATCCTTCAGTTCCAAACCACTGCTAGAAAAAAAAAAATTGCCATATTTCAGCACACATCCTAAACTACTCAATCCCATTTGTAGTCTGGCTTGTGCTTTGAGGAAAAGAAGAAGCTTGGGTTATTTTTTTATTGCTGTTGGTTTTAAATCTAAATGTACTTTAAGGTTTTGTGGCTGTCTCACTCTTTCAGTGGACACATTGGATTTTTTTCAAGTTATGTGGGTGAAAACACAGAGAAGTTAATAAATTGCCTCTGCCCTTTCTGAGCAGGACTGTCACATCTCTGCCCCCAAGCCTGCCAACAAATAAATACTCAGAAAAGGCTTTAGAATCAGTCCATCTGTGAGGAGCAGAAAGAAGCAGCTGGGGGCACCAGGATCATGAACATGCACAGGGTCACACCAGCTCAGAAGCTGCTGATTAATCCATAATTTCCTGTAAATTTGCAGCATCACTGCCTGGCACAAGAGGTGGGAACAGCAGGACACCTCCCTGCCAGCCTCATCCTCCAGCAAGAGACAAGGAAATAATGAAGCAAATAGAAATAAAGAAGTGAAAACCACTTTGGAAATGGAAACTGAAAGAGAAGGTCCTCTAAAACCTCATTAGCAATAAATTAGGTCTCAAAGGAGGTATTAATACTTTCAAAAGGAAAGGTGCCTGAAGCAGCTGCTGAGCAACTCTGCAACCAGTTTTTCCTGGAGAATAGAAGGTGCCCCCTGAGCACTGCAGGAAAGAAAGGATCCCCCAGCCTGGCTTGGGAAGATCAGGGCAGAGCCTGAAACAAGAGGGCTTCCAAGGAGAGMTTTCCAAAGCGTGCCAAGGACAGCAGCTCAGCACCATTCCAGGAGGATTTAGTTCTTCCTCACTGGCTGTCAGTGCTAYGAGCAAGTTACAGGAGAGAAATTTCAGASTACTCTGYTCTTTKTCTTAGCTGGAAMAAAAAAGAAAGTGGTGTTGGGGGGSRATAAAGGAAGAAAATTTTWAAGAGGAGCAAAGTGCTCTGAGCAGAGTTTCACCAGCTTCAATTCAAAATCCRGTGGCAGATTGGCAGACACCTCCCTCCAGTGTCACCACCCACGTTATTCCAGGACAAACCAGCAATGACCTTCCAGGAACTTTAATCTGAACCAGTGCCCTTTCCTGGCACCATCCCCCATCCCGTGGGGACTACAGGATGGGGACACAATCCCTTTGCTGCTTCTCCCTCCCACCACCCTGCTTCACCTCCAGGAATGCTCTTTGCCCCTCAGCTCAGAGGAGCAGCTCCACCTTCTCCCAGGGATCTGTGGGCAGTGTGAAAGAAGCTGCTGAAGGACAGAACAGATACGAGAGCAGACAAGGATCACAAAAGGGAATTCAGAGTTTTATTTAAAAAAAAAAAAAAAAAAAAAAAAAAAAAAAAAAAAAAAAAAAAAAAAAAAAAAAGAACAACGTAGTGTTGAAACAAAAATCAAATTCAATTAGTTTTTCTCTGATTTGAATGGCTACAAAAATAGATTCTACCCAAAATCCATAAAGCCAGTTAACAGTACCATAACAAACACCCCCCAAAATTACTCATTCAGATACCACATACAGCAGTCACAAGAATCTAGCATATATTATTTAATGGTTTCTTTTTCTTAAAGTAAATTTCTAAATGTATCCGTTAAAACTGAAATACCCATAAGATTTTTAAAAAATTGTACAAAAAAAAAAAAATCGTTGGAGGTAACAGTGTGCGTTTTTATTAAAATCCTGCACCGAGGCAGTAAAACATTTATAATTTAAAACCCAGCCCAGTAGAAAAGAGAAATGTGCAAACATTTTGAATGTTAAAGATGTACTCAGAGGCTTGTGGTGCATGGGACCTGGCGATCCGGTGCTGTCCTAAAGCAAGGCGGGCTCCAGCAGGAGAGCTCTCCAAGAGGCACTGGAGGGGCAGCAGCCGAGCTGCAGCTCCCTGCTCTGGCTGTGGGAGCACTGGTGTGGTGCCTCCTCCCAGGGACGGTTTGCCCACTCAGTAGTGTTATGGCACTCGATCCRATGCCAGCAAGTCCTCCACGAGCTCTGGTCAATCTGCTGCAGGAGGGAAGAAGGCAAAAGCTGTTTTAACAGGCAGGCGTTGAAAGCTGATGAGAGCTAAGAAGCTGATTCTCGTTTTGTTGCTCTGGCTCCCTCACTTTGTGGGCAGAGTTGGGAGCTTTCAAGGGATTTTTAGCTTTTCCTTTATCACTGGTGCAGCACATTTAGTCATGCAGCAAACAAGGTGCTGAACAGGGCTCACCACCACTCAGCCAGCAGATTCCCCACCCTGAAAATTCAAGTCAGGGTTCTGCAGAAAGCATTGAAATACGCTGAATTTTATAAAGGAATTTCACTCTATTTCTTGCCYCCTTTGGCCACGTCAAACACCTTCAGCCTCACTCACCTCCTCCATTACTTAGTCCATGTCCTACGGGACTTCTTGCCGAATTTCTTTCTGCATAGCTCCTGCAATGACACAAGAAGAGATTCCTTATTGCAATGCACTCTCATCCTGTCCGCTCCCAGATGCCGCCACAAGACCAGGATGAGGCAGTGTCCAGAGGAAGTGCACAGAGCAGAGCATGTCAGGCAGTCACTGATCCTTCCACACCAGCAGTTACCAACCCCACCAAGCCTCCTGCATCCGTTGCAGACAGTAGTAGTCCTTTGCCTACACTTGGTAGCCCCTGACCATCCTAGGGAGATGAGATAAAGCCCCGCAGCCGTGGTGGTAGCTCAGCTCTACTGTACAGACAGAATGGGAGCAGAGACACTGAACACATCCAAGGGACAGTGTCAAGCCAGGATTAACACTCCAGAGTCCCATCCTTGACCAACTAAGCCCGTGTGGCCTGCCCTTAGAGCAGCRTGGGGTGACACAAATAGAAACCTGTATGCGAACACTCAGAGTCCTGCTCCTTGGGGCTGTGGGAATGTGATCTCTCCTGCTTTTCGGAGAGAAAGAGACAAAGCATTATTCATAAAAAAAACGTCAAGGGACAGCATGTGAAAGAGAACCTGCCTGTCACTGTTGCCCTTTGGGACTCACAGGTGACTGGATTTCAGCAGAAGGATCCCTGCCATCACCGTGGGCATCCCCCTGCTGTCACCTCGAGCTGCCCTCCCCTGCCAGCCCCACCATCAGGAACAGCATTGGTTGGTACTCACCCTCTGCCCCCCTCCAGAGTACTCTGGATCTCCTTCAGCACTTCTGGAAAGCAGAGGGTTAAAGCAGTGAGCCAAACCAGCGGGGATCTGCTTTCAGGCAGCTGCCTGACCACATTCCACCTCCCCACCGAGCCTCCCACCACCCAGAGGTCACTCCTTGTATCTCACTGCCTCTTCAGCAGCACCAGGTTTTACTGGGCAGGCTGGCACACAGGACTGAGGCAGGCATTTGCCAGGGGAAACGTTGCCAATCCCCACGTAGCAGAGCCCCAAAGGAACTGCCTGTTCCAGCTGTCATCTTACACAAGTCCTGTTGGAAATAAAGATCCTTCTCTTATCTCAGCAGGGAATGCAGCTCTGCAGAACAACCCCTGCCCGAGGGCAYGGCTATCTGTCCAACCCCTCGTTTGTGGGGATTCAAGAAAACCCAGCATTTCTACCAGTAATTACAGATCCCTTGGAAATGAGTACTGGAATCCACGAAATTCCCAGCAGTTTTCTTCTTTTCCCACCCAGAAAGGCACCTTCCCTCTCAGCAGCAAGACTTCATCTCACTCACTTTCGTCATTGAGTAAGGCATGTTCCATCAGCCTCCCAGACTTCCTTTCTAAAAAATAGGAGGAAAAAAAAGCTTTTACCAAACAATATTTTCCCCTTTTCCTGAAATAAGTGCARTTTTGGAAGCCCACAGTGGAACTGSATTTTTTTTCCCCAYRTTAAGTACTTTTTGACTTTACTGAGTGCTTCACAACTAATCCTTAAAGTCTCTCACACACTGAACTGTATTTTCCAGTTTGGGTTACAGAAGATTTCCTAAGTAATTTCAGACCGTATCCTCCCAACAGATTCTTCCCTCCAGCAGAAACTCCTGTTTTATCCTTTAWGGAAATCTTGTCACACAGAATTTATTTCAGAGCTATCAGCCACTATAGGTCAGTGTTTCCCCCACATCGCTCCTTATTTTTCCCTTTCTTGGGCAGAAAATATCAATAGGAAAGATGTTCTGAAGTTTACACATCACCATGCTACCTTCAGTACACTTAATTTTTTTTGCTTACCATCTTCTCCACAGTCACCTGGACTCTTTCCTGGTCCCCTAAAAAAGGAAAGGAGGCAGAAAACAATTACTGATGTGGAGGCACAGGGGTGAAGAGAATTCCTGTGTGYTCTTGGCAGCTACAAGAGGCTCCAGTGCTCATGCACTAAATGGTTTGCTGGGTGAAGGAAAGGCTTCCCCACAYGCTGTGATGCAGGAACCACAGAACACTTCTGAACTCTTGGAATAAAATTCCCACAGGATCTCCCTGAGTGTCAGGTCTACTTTACTGATGTTCCAAGAGAGGAGGAGGAACATGATTTCCCTTCACAGAGCAACAGCTCAGCCTCAGYATTTGGGAACAAGCAAAGCAAGCCAAATATACTCCAAGCAGGAAAACCATCAGGGGCAAGGTTTCAAAATCTCTACAGATGTTAACTTCAGGGRTAAGGCTCCAGTCCCTCTATAAATGTGAACTTCAAAGGGTTTGCTTTTTTTTCTCCCTACTCTGACACAGTCAGTKTGCAAGAGTGTCACAGACTCTACCTGGATTTCCTTGCAGCATTCTCMGTGCCAGACTTGTTGTGCACGTGATTGTTGCTCGTCACTTCTGGCATTTCCACGATGCACCGGGGCTCCACCAACCATTTGGTGGAAAGGGAAAATCTCTCAAACTCCGATGGGGAGATCAGATAGAAACCTGCAGGAGATGGGGAATTTGTAAGGGCAGTTCTCAGGAAACGGTTCCAGAATGAAAGGTAGTCCAAAGAAAGTACAGATCTAGGCATGCTCTGTGTTTGGCAGAAAGAGTTTTGCATATCTTCCTATCCAAACAAGGAGGGATCGTTGAGGAAGATCTTAGCCCAGCTCCCCTCTGGTTAACCTTGAGACTCTGCAATTTAAGTCCATGCTGAGATAACTGTGTTGTCCTGTACTGACACTTAGGAAAACTAGCACAGAAAGATGAAAAAAATTAATTGGAAAGCACCCATAGGGTGTTGGATCCCAATTTTACAATGTGAGTGCTGAGCCACAGGTGTGTGCAGGAGGCACAGTGGAGCCATTTCCCCAGAGCCATCCCCTCCACGCCAGTAAGAGCAGAGTGAGCAGCTGGAAGGAACCTGTGGGGCACCTCCAAGCTGAAAACCACTGCATTCATTCATTAACAGCAATGGAATAAACTCACTCCTGATTCTGCTAACTCATGTGTTGGTACCTGGCTGGGAGCTGGTGCTGCCCAGAAACACAATGGACACATTTCTGACACCAAATTTCTGAAATATTTTCACATGTTTCACACAGCCACCTATAAAGACAAATCCCTCCTCCACCRTCTCAAACAAGAGGGCCGATTTGGGGGAAATCCACCTCACCTTGGCCATATTTGGTGAAGACACAGGATGCAATGCCACTCACATCCTCCTTGCGGATGCAGGGGTAGCGGATCTGTAACTTGAGGAAGGGCAGGGAGATGATCTGGATGTCCCCCAGGTTGGTGAGCACAGCCAGGTCGTTCTCGCTGTAATCGTCGGTCTTGCAGCTGCCAAAGTTGGCCACGGTCACCTTCCGTACCCTGCAGCCCTCCAGGGCCGTCAGCTTCAGCTTCAGTTTGGAGCTGACCTTGGGCAGGGTGAAGACCTGTGACAGAAATGAGACCCTGACACCTCTCCCTGCACCAAGGATATCCCTGTATCCCTCTCCCCGGGATATTCCGCTGCTGCCTGCCTGGACAATGCCTGCATTCACAGGGAATGCACACAGGAGGAACCAGAGCCAGCCCCTGCTCCTGACAGAAATCAGCCATGGGCAGTGTGAGAATCTCTTCTGTTCTCACATCAGTTTTACCCTTCGGGCTGTAACTGCACTTCTCCCCTATTTTTTTCAAAACTCTTCCCTTATTACAGAAAGTGGACCAGGTTTGACTAGTTAGTGTGCAAAACTAGGAACTTGTAAGCTATTTCAAAGAAATGCCTACAAATACCTGCTTCTGCACTAACCACAGAAAAGCTCTCACCCAAATGCAGAAGCAGCCTTGTCCAAAGGGTATAATGTAGTAGAGGCATAAAATTTCTATATTCAGCATGTGCAGCACTATGCTGAACACCCAGTTTGCCAGCACACATCTGATTTATGGACTGCACCAAACAGAAAATGCTGCCCCAGGACTGTTCTTCAGGTACAGGAGAACAAGCACTCCCAAGAGCTCTCTCTCCACTGAGCAGGACCCAGAGATTTAGCAGATTTCATTTGCACCTCCTTCCCTCAACAGGTGACACTCACCTTAAATTGCTCTTCAGATACCACCAGCAGCTGGTGGCTGCCTTGCATATCAGGACTCTTGGAAAGGTCATGTGCTACTTCTAGAGGTTCTGGGAGGGGAGTGCTGCGTCCATCCAACACAAGTATCCCCACAACAGGAGCCCTGTGCATCAGCTGAATCTCTTTGGCTAGACAGGCAAGATAAGGARGGAAAACAAAAAGAAAAAACAGACMRGAGTCTAATCAGAGACAGTGGTAGAAACTCACTCAYATCCTCTCAGGGCTGGAGACCTACATACTGTGGTTATAGAAATGCTGCCTAAAAGGGTTTAATAGTTGAAGGGCAATTCTGACTGGACTGATTTGTGCTAAACAGAAACTATTGTTACATAAAGACAGCAGGCCCAGCTGTCAGAACAAGGGACACGTGCAGYGAGGGCTGATGGCAAACTTCAGTAACAGCTGACACAAATTTGCATTTCTGAAGTGAGTGGGAAATGAGGCTGAGGCACATCAAGCAGCGCTGGAGCTCCAGCTCAGCTGCTGCAGTGAGCATTGCTCAGCTCAGACACTGCCACCCTTGGCTCTAATCACTGATAAACAGCTCTAATTGAGCAATCCTGCTTTTCTGTCCATAACTCCTGTGAGRGATGGCTCAGACCCAGCAGAACCCTGCTTTCAGCAGGCACTTACCCTGCTCTGCCCTGACAGGCTCATCCATCCTCCTCTCTGCTGGAGGAACACGTAAACAGAAGGCRTAGACTGTCCCTCCATTGGTGCCAGCCCACAGGGACGGGCAGTGCCGGGAGCCTGGAGTGACAAAAAGGTCCATGAGCAAGGCACCACCACGACACTCTTGGATAACAGCTTTCCCTGGCTATACAAAACCTCCCTCTGCACCCTAAAAATCTGTATATTAGGGCAGGCTTGCCAGGCAAACTGCAAGTTCTTGACATACTTTTTCCAGCACATGTCCACCAGCAGCCCTTAAAAAGGGCACTGCATGTGAGCAAAGGCAAAAGTGCTGCTTCCATGGACCATTGCAATTGCTGTGTCCAGTTTTCACACACTTATATCACATATCCACACATTTATATCACATATGAGCAGAGTAAACTCGTGCATTATACCAGTTTGGGCACTAATGCACAATCAACCACCACCTTCACCCAAATTAAAAGGCTCTGATGGGGACAGGCAAACTTCATAGCAATGAGAGAAGAAAAAGTTGATGCTAAAAAGTCAGATGGCATTCCAGCACGTTTGAAAACCATACATAAAGACTTGATTCAAAGATGAACTTGCCTTGGCTTAGCCAGCAGCYAGAATGGCTAAATAACAATTCTGCATGACAACATATGCTCTCGTTCTATATTGGTTTTTCGGCACAGCACAAAGTAGGACACAGGAGGTGCCGAGTTTTCCTGGCAGTAAATCCTAATGCACTCCTTGGCAGAAGAGGTAAAAACCCACTTGGARGAAGAGAGAGAGATGCTTTTCCTACTCACTGTCTCTCAGGAAGGTATCAGCAAAGTACAAGGTTCGCACAAAGCCGGTGAAGGARTCCTCCGCCGAGCGCGCTTCGATCTTGCGCTGGACTGGAGCCAGCTCCATCTCCTGCAATGCGTCCTGGTCAAACTTGGCATTGGCTTCCTGCACCTTCAAAGGTGAGGAGACACACTGTCAGGCAGGGACAGACACAGCAGGGAGACACAGGGAGGGTGGCAGCAACAGAAAGGCACGGCACAGTCACACCAGTGAACCCATCCTCTGAACTGATCTGTAAAAATGCGCTTGTTTTTATCTAACAGCAGCATCAGGARTTGCCACTTCTCCCTTACACCAACAGCTTCTGATCTGACCACCTCCCACTCCAGGCAGCCTCAGCAGGMTCCAAGCTCTAACAGGCAGACCCCAAAAAGGTGAAGCCCTCACCTCTGAGGTGTTCCCACTAACTCCTCGCCGCTTCCTACTGGACACGCGGCTTCTCCTGATCCGCCGGAACGACTGACGGAGGGACTTCTTCAAGGACTTCACCCGAGACAGGGGACCTTCTAAGGCCAGCTGGTCACTGGGATGCAGTGTGCACCTGGGAGAGGGACAGAGCAGCCATGTGGTCAACTTCCTACTGGCAATTGCTCCCAGGAGTCCAACAGGACACATACAAGTTTGGAACACGCTTATATATTCTGAAAGATCTTCAACGGTGGAGAAAAAAGAAGCAGAGCTTCTTGCCACAGAGACAGCTCTTGAGAAATCACTTAGCACACCTTGTTTTGTTTGTAATTCCAGGTAATCATGAACAGAGGATCACCACAGACATCCTGGAAGGATAACACTTACTTGACAAAGACCAACCGCTTCTGCTGATGGTCAAAAAGCCCAAAACCATGRCTGGTACCAAAGGCCACAAGCTTCCACTCCGAGTGCAGGGCCAACGAGGTGACCACAGCTGGTGGCTGACACTGGACRAGGACAAATGGCTGAAAACCAGCTTCAAATCGAACAGGGCCATCTCGAGTTTTCAGCTTCTCGTGGCCTTTCCATCGATAGCCCTCTTGGTCCTGCAGCAGATCTGCTTCAGCGTGGTCCACCACGTGCTCTGCATCCTCATCGTTCAGTTCCATCACCAGCACCTGGAAGGAAGAGAACAACCTTTGCTTTTGCTGTGCAGGCAGATCTGCAAGCTGCAGCCCTTCCCTGCAGCTGCTAAACTACAGCACCTCTCAGGGCAGGTAAATGACAGMAGATAATGTCTRAAATAWCARCWAGAGAAAGCAGAAAGTCACAGMATGGTTTGGGTTGGAAGGGACCTTAAAGATCACCTAGTTTCAACTCTTGCCATGGACAGGGACACCTTTTCTGGTCAGAGTTCTGTGTTCCATCCAACCTGGCCTTAAACTCTTTCAGGGAMRGGGCATCCACARCTTCTMCAGGCAACTTGTTCCAGTGCCTCACCACCCTCACWATAAAGGAGCTCTTTCTATCTAATACYCAATCTAAACCTACTCTCTTTCAGTTTGAAGCCACTCCCCCTTGTCCTGTCACTCYAGGACCTTGTAAATGGTCTMTGTCCACGTTTCCTCTGGGCTCCTTTGAGGTACCAGAGGCTGCAATTAGGTGACCCCAAACCTTCCCTTCTTCAGGGAACAAGCCCAGCTCTTYCAGCCTTTCCTCACAGCAGAGCTGCTCCATCCCTCTAACCAGCCTGGTGGCCWCCTCTGGACTCACWCCACCARCTCCAYGTCCYYCCTGTGCTGGGRACCCYGGAGCTGGATGCAGTGYTCCAGGAGGGATCTCACCAGAGCAGAGTCCCAGGAAGCATTTCCAGAGAACAGATCAATTTACTATGAGACAAATGAGCATTTTAGATTTGAGCAGATCCCCACATGACACTGAAACCTGCCCTGAAAGCAATGTTTATGCTGATTCACAATACCTGTCCTGCTGTACCAGCCACAGCCAGGTACCCACTGTATTTRCACAGGTAGATCTTCTGGATGCCAAGCCTTGGATCATCACTGTAAGGATCGAAGGTGCCAACCTGGGCAAGAGAACAGAGTGAGGCTGGGCTTTAACTGGGGCAATCAGAACCCCCCAGGTGCTCAGAGAGTTTCCACAAGCAGCAGCTGCCTCACCTTGCGGAGTGGAGGCCACTCATCCTCCCCCAGGGTGTTCATGTTGTCRTTGGGATCAGCATCCGTGAGGAACACTCTCACTGTGCTCAGCTTATAAAGGAGGTGCAGGCAGACACCAGAGGCATCCCAAAACCTCACTGTGCCATCCTCATGCCTGRGGAGGAGGTTACAGGAACACACATCACACAGGAGAAAGCTCACGGAGCATAAAACAGAGGGGGAAAGAACAGAACCCAAAAAACAAACCACAAAGAGAAAGGTTTTTGGCTTCTTGGGTATTTCTGGGGGTGTTTTGTTTTAGGTTGTTGGGGTTTTTTAATCCAGTTGTTGTGACATCATTATACCAATTTAAAGATTATGCCAAAAAGACATGGAAAAGGCAAAAAGCTTAGTATACAGAAAAAAACTCATCCAGACAAAAATACTGTTACTGTGAGGGAAGGGAAATTATTTTTTTAAAAAATCAAGCTTTAATCTTAGTTCTCCAGGTGAAAATTTGCAACAGTCTTCCAAAACAAGGGTAGGGGCTTCTAACATGCTCCATCAAGAATGAAATCTGAGGAACAGCCCAGTGAAACTCTCAAAAGTGCTTTGAAAAGAAAATGGTACATTTTTATGCAATGAGACAATCTCTTGCTAGCTACTTCCACCTCTTAGCTAGATCTGTTCGTGCTGATCAAAGCAGACAGAAGTCCAAGCTAACCTCTATTTTAAGATTCAGAGTGTAAGGTAAAGGGAAAAATACTTCAAAATATGCAAGATTAAGCTCCACTTTTGCACTGCTGCCTTTGAACCAGGCTGGATTAGTGCCTGCACTCCTACACAGTTGGGGAGKAGGGGGAATGGATAACACATCAGAACTAAAAATCAGCCACTTTCTGGGTTATCTGTGGACATCATGACCTGTTTGCTCAGAAGCTGCAGAATCAGTTGGCTTCACAAAGCCAGCAGCACAGCTTTGAGAAGCTGCACTGCAAAGCTGCAGCCTCCTCCCTGCAAGATGAGCAGACTTTAACCCCACAGGAAGGCCTGAGGGAGTTCAGAAGGGGGAATGGAAGTGGGAAGGGCTCCCTGATGGCTCTGAGGTCAGTTCATTACATACCCTGTCAGCAGCAAGTCCCTCTGAGGAGGATCTGGGGCGATGTTGGTGCCACCATCAATCGGCCACGGCTACAAACACAGAAAGAGAAGATTGTGACTCCCTAGGCTGTGACAGAACATAAAGTCAGCAGGAGGGCTTGAACTCCAGTGCAAGTGGCAGTGAAACAGTCCCTGCTGTCAGCTTTTGTTTGGATTGGGTGCTCCCGTTCTGACACCAACTGTGCCTTTTAGAAGGCATTCTACACATTTCCTCAAGAAGCTTCATGCTTTTACTCAAGAACTTTGTTCCCACCGACAGCTGGGAACCCTCAGACTTCCCCTCGGGCTTGTCAAAGCTTCAAAAAAAAAATCACATTTTAATTCCCCAGTGTGAGTAACTGAGGCTTTGGGAAAAAGCCTCTCTCRACCCCATTAAGAGGCAGGACAGTGTCTGGTGGGGCTGAACCCTCTGCAGAGCATCAGCAGCACAGACCACCCACACCCTGGGCAGCCACACCGGTCACAAAAACACGGGAACACGCAGAGGGACACAAAGCTGCCCTACCATGCTGGAGTAGTGGATGTTCTGCTTGCTGCCAGCGCTGATAATCCTCTCCCAGAGCTTCAGAGGGATGTTGGAGACGTGGTGGGAGCAGGTGATGGCTGAGCAGTGCAGGGAGGCCAGGTAGGGAGGGTGCACTGCTGGCCAGCCGGCGCTTTTCAGGTCTATGACCACCAGCTCTTCCTCTGCCAGCACCACCAGGGCAGAGGGGTCATCAAACTCTGCAGGAACAACATCCAGTGAGCCTGATAAAACTGACAAAACCATCCCAGGACAGGGCAAACAAGCTTCCTGTAAGGCTGCTCTGAAAACTGTAATCTGCAGTAATCTGAAAACTGCAGCTCCACAGCAACATTTTTGTTGGAAAAAAAGGTAAATGCTTCTGTGCTAACTGGGCCTGTTGAGTATGAATGGGTCTTGAGACAGATTTATTGCTAATTCATGATTCTTTACATCACCCCTGGGACTGTGAGAGTGACTTTTTACAGATTCTATCGCAGAATAAAAAAAAATATTAACTAAATGACTAAATAACACAAGTTTCATACTTACTACTGCAACAGCCAGAATTCCAAAGACTTCACCTACAGCTAATTAACAGCACTGGGCTGAAAGACATGCAAACACCCCAGCAGTGACCCATTTAGTGCTGTGCTAGGACCACAGTCCATCCAGGCTAAGCTGCTTAAACATGCTAATGCCTTGGGTTCTGCAGAATGCTTCTCTGCCTGAATTGACAAGTATTTACAATTCAGCTCCTTTACTTTTCATTTGCTCTCCTCCTCATATGCTGTGACACATCCTCTAGACTTTCTTTTTAAAGATGTGTACATCACCTAATAATTCTTATGTATATTAGGAACAACTACAAAAGGAATATGTTAATGCAACTTGACTGGTGACATCTGACACAAACAAGAATTTTARTTCTAGCTACAATGGGAAATCTTGAGTGAAAAAAACTTAGTCTACAAGGACATTATTGCAGCAAGGTTCACGAGTCAGCCACAGCAGCAACTGGTGGGGAAAACCAAACCCACAGATCAGTTGACAGCAGTGAAAATTAACAGAGCTACRGAAAGCTGAGTGAATGTAAAGCTGGATTGGGGGTGGTAAACAGTGAGCCATTAGCAAACCTCCTAACTCAGCTCTTCCTGACCTTCCCTCCTAAACTGTKCTTTTACTTCCCTCCTTTACTTCGTTGATTACCTGGTATACACTTGCAAGAAGGCACATACCAGCACTGTTCACTCAGCAAAATTAAATTGAAGTAATTAGTACCTGGCAGCACTAGTGAGGCACCCCAAGATTCACCTCTGACTAGCCCCAGCCATAACACATCACTAATTAGTTCAGTTTCTTCAGGAAAGAAACATTTTCTATTCAGTTTTTTACTTTGCTTTCCTATGTGCCATCRTTTGCAGTTGCTCGCTGGACTTCTGAATAAAAGAAATAATAGACCTGCGCTGTAAGAGCCCTGCATTTTGCTGCTGCCAACATTAACCAAAAGGGCTCTGTTTTAACAATTTTTTCCCTGCAAAGACACACATCTGAGCTCATTTCTTATAGCAACAATCTATTTTAAGTTGCTGAAGTAGCAGGCACAGTAGAATTTGTCATGATTGCCATACACTCACCCACTTCATTCAAAAAAAAAAAAAAAAAAAAAAAAAAAGAAAACAGGAAGGGCTGGCCTTTTAAAAACTCTTTCCACAGCATATTCAGGGTAGTGGAAAGTCACCAGCTACGACCATGCTGCAATGCATAAGCTTTGTGCTTATTAAATTAAGTGGCTTTGGTATACAATTAATACCTTGGTATTGCCATTGCAGGGAAGACTGCTTAAGGGCAAACAAGGCAAGCCACGTAGATCCACTAAGCTTAGGCAATCAGCCACAAGGAAGCTTGTCAACCACAGAAACCTCATTTTATTGTAMAAAACTTCCTCGCTGAAGCGCAACAGTTTCAGTTTCCCATAGCAGCTCCTGTCTGAACCCACTGGCAGTGGTGGTAACTAGAAAATTCAGCTCTTGGGAAGCAGAAATAAAGCCTGTGAGCTCAGTTATTTCATCCTGAAGAATTTATAATCATATCCAGAAACTAAACTCTTAAGTAGTCCAACTCTGACCTAAAAACCTTAGATTTCTTTCATCTTAAAGACTTCTGCTCCATCATCTAGAATCCCCCCTGACAATTTCATAGAAAGTAAAAGGATTTTCTTCTTTAATACTAAAAGGTATTGAACTTGAGCTATTAAACAATACCTGAAGTTTATTGGCACTGTGACCTGTAGGCTCTGCACATTTGGAAGATGCTTATAAAGCAGTGCAGTGCAGGGAAAACCTTTAACAGACACATACAGGCACTTCTGCTCAGTTACACTGCATTTCCCTGCTGTCATTTCAGTAACCTGAAAGGGCCTGTTAAGGTCTGGGAAGAGAGGCAGGAGGAAATGCAAAAGCAGTTTCTTTCTGCCTGTTTTCCCAAGACATTCCTCCCCTAGGTCTGTGCTCTCTGTCCCAGAAGCAGCTGGAGGGATCCGACCTGCACTGACAGACTGGGACGAGGARCTGGGGCTGCCACCACCCTCCCTGGCAGGCCACAAGACAAATTGGTTTGGAAACCAGTCTAGCAGGCAAACCAGAGACCAGAAAGCCTGAGAAGATCCCAGTGACAGAAGATTTACTTACAAGCTCCTAAAAAATTTGCAGTGGGGCCTGACCCAACTTCCAACATYGCACATTTTTGTAGCTTGAAATAGCATTTTATACTCAGTTGCTTCAAGTTAGCCAGAAGCAAGAACTATGCCAGCATTAAACACAGTTCTTGGGGAAAACCCTTTGCAGTTTCATGAAAAGAAGAATGTACAGTTGCTGCAGAAGTAAGGGCAAGAAAGCTCTTCAACAGAGGCAAGAATCTGACAAGCTCTAYACAATTCCAGGAATGAGAACTATTCCGTTTACATTCATGCTCACCAGCACGAAGGAAATTAAGTTCTCTATACACTGACCCTTGGTTCTCTGTCACCCTTCGCTGATTTATTACCCAGAGCTCCAGACACAAGTCCAGGTAGTAATTAAAAGGAGCAGTGTCTCCGTGGGAGTAAATTCTGGTTTTAATTATTAGCCTCCTTTGAAGTGCTATTTCCAAACAACAATATTCAGATCCTCATTTCACGACCTGGTTGTGTCCAGYGTCCAGCTTAGACATAAGCTAAAGACATCTTTTCTCATTAACAGAGTAGCCTAATTTTTTTGAGGAATGTAAGGAATTTGTAACTTGCCCTTTATTTACACCAGGATTTTCCACTTCTTTTTTAAATGGGAAATCTTTTACAGCTGGATTCAATGTATGAGTTTTTTCCAAACTAAACGATTCCATGATTCTCTTCTAAAATCTCAGAAACTCCCCAAACAACTGACCTCTTTATCACATTTCATCTGCTATTTATACCCAGCAGATTTCCACACACGTACACAGCCACCCTAATTCCTCAGTAATGCCCTTCCATCACATACCTGCAGCAGGATCTGAACTGAAGATTATGAAGAAGTCTATGACTCGTGAGGTGAAGTCAAAGGCTGTTTGCTGGCTGCCATGGATGACAGAGATACTGTGCCGGTCCCCATAGCTAGCCCGGGGCATTCCTCCTTGGAATATTATGTAAGGAAGCCTTGAGTGAAAGAAAGGGTTAAAGTGGTGTGTGCTGAAGTGAGGAGTAAGCAAAACTTCGAGGAAATGCCAAAGAAACTTTGACAACAAGTTGTTATAACGTTACTCTAAAGGGCTCTTGCAGCATTGCACCCTTTAAACAGTGAAGGGATACACCACAAACTCACCCATTTTTTGTTGTCTGCCAGTAGATCTTGGAGATGGCCTTGCAAGGAAAAGGACCTGAGCAAACAGAGTTATTTGTTACAATTCAGGAAGTGCATCTTCACATCAGAAGTTGCTGATTCTGCTTCAGCCAGGTCACCTCACCCTCCACCCCAAGGGGAGCCACCTAAATTAGCAGGGACCAGCACCACCTCCCCAGCCCAAGCCACATCAGACAAGGCTTCTGGGACACACTGACCACAGAACTCCTCAGCAAAACACAGCTTAGACTCGGGGGAAGTTCTAAACCATGCTGCTGAAGGCTACCAGGGAGTGGGAGTGCTGCTGGAGGAGCTGATTAACTGGAAAGGATTGCTAAAATCACAGCCATTCCTGAAACTAATATAAAGTGATAGGGCTTCAGAAGCTTCTCTATGTTCAGAAGGTGAGGTCATCCCCATTTGATGGGTTCCAGCACATCAGAAGCTTCGTTTCATCACTGCTCAGGTCGACAAAAAACACACTCAGCTCACTATTAATTACACAGGATCCAAGCAACTCCTGCTGAACAGGACACCAGCTAAAACAAAGAGCTGAATCACCAACACCCTTCTTCACAAGGGGCACTGAGTTTGTCAACAGACTCGCTCTACCATGTTCAGGACAGATCAGCAATGCAAAGAGTTTCAAATCCAAGGAAAAAACTGGGCTGAAATCCCTTAGTCCAGGCTCACAACCCATTCAAGAGGCAGCTCTGCATTTTGCCATTAAACACGAGGGGGAATTGTGACTCGAATATCCTACATAAGCTCAAAAGTTTAGACAAATATGCAACAGTTAAACYTCACTTACTGACCATAAGGCACAGTGTTTTCCAGAGGCTCTGGCTGCCTGTTGTCACTGGATACTGGCCACTGGGTGTAACTTCCATCGTAGTGACAACTAATGAATTTACTGCCATCCCTCTGCCAGTAGAGGTTCTCCAGTTGCTGAAAAGAAAGCCATACAAATGACTGCTCTCCAGAGAGCTGTTATCTCCCCAAAACAACCCATTCTTGCTAAAAAAGCAGCTTTGTCAGGCTCTCCCTGCACCTACTGTTCTTCAGAGCGTCAGTGAGAGCCTTCCTGCTCTGCTGAGCTGCCTCGGGATTGAATCAATACCTGGCTGCCCAGGAAATGGTGTGTTGCTTTGTTATTCTGCAGGTCCCAGAGGACAATCAAGCCTCTGCTGTATCCAATTAGGATCTGGTCAGGGTTCTTAGGATGCTCCCGAAGGGCTTCCACCAGCTCACAGGATCGCCTGTTGCAGTTATCTTCTGGTATCCTGCAGGAGCAGAAGAGAAAACCAAGCAAAGCTGATTCCAGGTACAAGCTAAAATGACTGTAATAAACAAATGGGAAATGAAGTGACAGAGTTCAAAGATGTGATTACAGTCTTTCCACAAATCCTACAAAAAGCAGAAAAATCTTAAAGGAAACATCACTCCAGGTCTGCCACATGGATATGCACACAGTCCCGTTTTCTTCAGGGAAATACCAAGGTTTAAAGACAGTCTGAACCACAAAACCTCTTTACAGAATAAAGGTAAGATGGAAATGTCAGTAGGAAATATGAAGTAGGACAGTTTTCAGCAGTACCCAAATCTCCAGAGTGATAAAATCCTCGTTTGAACAAAGCAGCGTCAGACTTTCTGCCAATGCTTGAAAAAATAAATGGGTAATTACAGCTAAACAAAATATTTTTTTTTGCATAAATAAACACAAGGGCCAGGGCACAAGGTTTGCAGATTCACCCTAAGTGAACATGCTGTACTTCCACGGTGACAATACCAGGCTGACCAGGGCACAAACTGTTACTTAACACACCCCAGGACCTAAAGTTACTGTCACGAGACTCTCAGGCAGATATGGACAATGCTTAACACAACAGCCAGGCCCCAGTGCATAATCTGGGGTGACATTCTAACAAAGGATGTGTCTGCTAATGGGATTCCACCTCTTGTTTGCTCACTCACCGCTGCAGCACGGCCTCGGGGCTGATGGTCCTGTCCTCCAGCACTCGGAAYGATGGCAGCTCCAGCACGAAGATGCTGCCACTCTCAGTGCCCAGGTACAGCACCTCCCGGGAGGAGTGGGGAAGGACAGCTGTCACTTGGGTGGCACTCGGTGGAGACCTGGGGATGCAAAGAATCTCTCGTTACTGGGTTTGGGAGAAAAAACAACCTAACAGAGATATCTATTAGTGGTATTTGTTTTGGAGGTGTGATTTTTTTTATAAAAACAGCTTTAAAAGACAGATTATGTCAAAAATTCTTGACAAATGCACAGACAAAGAGCCAGACAGCTTTTTTTTTATGGAACCCTCTCTAAGTGTTCCTAAAGGAGCTAAAAATAGCTCACCTAAAGCTGGCAAGATCAAGTGAAACTCCAACCACAACAGCATTTCAAAGCCTGACTTCAGGGGAGCTTAGATTTACCTAACTTTAACAGCTGCTGCACTCACAGCAGTGAATGCACAGTATTTTAAAAGATGTCACCCTTTGCACTGGATCAGCACTTTTAAAAGTTGCTCTCCCAGGCCCCAGCCAGCTCATGGTTGGTTTCCATGGATGCTCTTTCAATGGACTCAGAGGAGTGGCAAGCCGTAAGAACTGGACAAACTCTGGCTTAAACAATAGCAGAATTTAATTTCCTGACTTGCTTATCCCCAGAGCAGCTCCAAGCCCCTCCTGTGGCTTACCCAGGTGGCCCTTTGAGGGTGAAACGATGCTCCTCCCGCAGCTCAGATGCTCCCCCGTGCTGCTTCAGGCTCCAGAGGTGCAGGCTGTTATCATCCAGCAGTGTYACCAGCTGGCACTGCAAAAATCACACAACTTGCTTTTTTCAGAATGCCAGTATTAAATATAACACAGTAAATTTAGMAGTGAAGTTGCTGCTGTTCATAATTCCCTGCTAAAACAGGACTGGGGAGCCGGTTCAGTTTTTTATAGCCATGGACAAACACTGCAGCAATGGGATTTAGGGGGTGGAGGGAGACAAGAAGTAGCCTAGAGGCTAAAAACCCTGTTATAAAGGCACAGGTTATCAGTGAGGGGGATGACAAGGATTTAGGCTGCTGAAGGAGATCAGGCTCTGCTGTAAAGCCCAGCCATGCAGCTGCAGGCTGTATCTCACCTCCTCCTGGCTCAGCACAGGTTTGCTGAACACACCCCAGCTTTGGGTGGGGCTGATACACTCTGCTACACCACACTCCTCACATTCTTCGTGTCCAACCTCATTCTGGAGGGTTGTGTCAGAATCCTTTTATGAGCCCAGCCCTGCTGGCTGGATGTTCAAATTGAAGCATTTTACCTGCTGCAGCCACACCTGGTGCAACACTCCCCATGGGAGTTTCAGTTTATACCATTAGYTAAGCAAACAGACACCCAAAACCGCCTCAGGAACCAAATCCCTCGCACAAAGAGGCCGCTTGTGCTGCACTGGGGGCATCAGGCAACAAAGTCTGTGACCAAGACACCAAGTCTGACAGTCATGGGAAAGGGAAAGTGGTTAGACAGACACCAGACATTTGGAAAATTCTGCTTTCCTATTTTTAGTGTGTGGCAATAACTGTTCAGCAATCCCCAGGAGCAGGATTCAATACCCCCCAAACACAAAGGCAGCAAACTTAACAGCAGGCAAGGCTAGCAGTGCTGCTTTGAGCTCCTGAAAATSATTAAATCAGCTCAGCAGCAGCTCCTGTTCTATCTGTTGTGCAGAGCAAAAGACCACCCAGTCCTGCTGAAAAAACAGGGGCAAAAGGAAAAGGAAGTTCTTGCTTCTGCAGCGGATTGCCTGAACCATCCTGGCCTTATTACCATTCCCAGGATGTTGCTGGAGATAAATGACTAACAGTTATGAACAATAAAGCTACTCTTTAGTTTAAAGGTTCTCTTTTAGTTTTACTGAGCATCTCCACAGCAACAAGCGCTGCCGAGAGCGCAGAACACGCTGGGATAAACATTCCCAACCCGGCAGCATTTGAATATACTCAGTAACAGGAGCCCAGATCCCCTGGAATAAAATCAGCACCTGTTTAGGGGAGATCTACATAAGTCACAGAGGTACTGGAAATGCACTTACCTGATCAGGTATAAAGTGAATCTGCATTACAGTGTTGTTTTCTTCATGTAAACCCATGAACTCCACCCCAGGAGCACCATATCTGACGGGTTTGTTGAGGATCTACAGCATTTAAGGTGACCCCCAGCTACAATTAATTGGTAAGAAGCTTGCTAGCAAGCAAGATGAAAAGAGATTAGTTTGAAACCACGTTTTACTGTTGGTGAGCTGGACTGCAAAGAACCAATGCAAATCACCTTTTGATTTTACATGCTCGTAAAATTCGCAGGCTGTGCTCGCTGTGGAGAACAGGGAAGTTTTCTTCCTTCAGCATATGCAGAAGTGCCTGGACCCTGTTTTTTCTCAGAGATGTTTCGTGGTTTCCCAGACAGTACAATCCTGCTTAACTAATTTGTAACCAGGAGACAGATGGCTACTGCCTGCATGGGGAGTCCAGCCTCTGAGCACAAACAACACCAGCAATAAATGATTAAGCTGGCAGAAACAGCACCAACTTTTCCTTTCTAGGTTGGGTGATGTGCCTGTTTTACAACTCATCTAACTGGTCTGTGCCATGGGAATCACCTCAGTGYCTCATACACACACACAAAAATCAGACTGGACGTCACTAGCTAAAATAAAATAAATTACCACCTTTGGTGTTTAGCTTTTTAATTCCTGGATGGTCAAAAACTCAGGAAGTTGAAGCATTTCTGCCTTCTGCTTTAACCTTTGAAATAGAATTGCTTTAGGAAGAAAAAAAAAAAAAAAAGAAAAGAAAAAGGAACCCTGCCCCAAATATTTAAACAACCCTGGAATTTACAATGTGAAGGATTGCTAAACTTAGGCCAGATCTAGTCTGACCTTCTGCATAGCAAGAGCAGAATCTTGTTTAATATCTGCATCAGCTCAGTTTCTGCTTGAGCTACAGCTCAGCTCTGGGAAAGATAACCCCACTCTGCTCAGACCAAAATCACTCCAAACCTTGGCAAACTGTTTCAATGTTCCAGCAAACCTGGCTTGCAAATTTATTATTTGATCTAACTTTTGAAGTGTCTTCAAAGCTGCACGCTCTGCTGAGGTTTGGGAAGTCTCACCCAAGGTGCTCAAAGGATACAGTTTGATGGCTCCTGATCGTGTCCCGATGGCCATGAGCCGGAGAAAGGGGCTGTAGCCCAGGGCACTGGGCTGGTGGGGAAATCCATGCTCCACRGTCTGGGGGAGAGAAGGGAAAATCATGATCAGCAGCTTGTTTCCTGGGCATTGCTGGACAGAGATAAAACCCAGAAGTAAACACAGCATGGCAGGMTGAAATACAGTACTTAAAGGCAGCWTTTTCTGTGGAAAAGTGTTCAAACACAGGTTAGATTCTCAGAACAACAGCCTAATGATGAAATGTGTGCCAAGAACCCCTGGCTCCACAGCCAGGATATCCAGAAATGAAAGAGAAACGTTCTGAAAACAGGAGCCCAAGCAGCTCTYGATGTTAAGATTATAAATAACTCTGCACAAGCACAGCTTGGTCAATACAACACACTCCATCACTCCACATCAGCTGCACTGCTGCAAACCAACTGCTCAGCACAATTCCAGAGTCTGACACAAATGCTGTGAGCTGKAAGACCAGCTTTATCTGCCAAATTCCACACGGGTCAGCCTTCCTGACCTGCTCTTGGTGGCTGGCGTGAAGAAATGGTGCAAGGCAACACAGAGCTGAGAGTGAAGGAAGCTGCAAATTTCATCGAGGAAATAAAAGAGATTTCCAATGGGCAGCCAGCAAAACTAATGTAATCCACATCCATTTTCCACAGGGAACATGAGGATCACTGGAATTTAATGAGAGCAGGAGCCTGCTAGGCCACCTCAGAGTAATTCAAAGCCATTTGGGACTAAAAAGATGTCACTGTCATGGAGAGCAGTGTTGCTTGGCCTTGGTGGTTTCCCCAAAGCACAATTTACACTGCTCCAGGAGGGAGATTTGGAGCATTTGTACACAGCACAGTGAGCATGGCTGATGCATTTCCACACCAGGGAATAATATCCTGCYATCCAAGCTTACAGGATGCCACCAGGCTGCCTGGAAAAGAGCTCAGGGAGGTTTTCAGAAGTGCTAATGCACAGCTCTTACCCTGGGTTAGGCAAAACCAGAATGCACCAACACACAGCCAGGTAAAAAGGCTGGTGTGCTCACAGATTAATAGGGATTCTTCCTGGAAAACACTCATCCTTTCAGGCCCAACTTCTGGAAAACACCTTCTTCTAAGGCAAGCTGGCCAGCTACAGAATAAGAATTCATTACACTCACTACTGAAAAAGAAAAAAAAAATCAGAGAACCCTCCATCTACAGAACTTGCACCTCATTCCCATCCTCATTTCCATCACATCTTTGAAGGAAAGCTACCACATCACTTAAGTTTTATGCTTCATTCAGCCTAAAAGTTGCACCTGGATTTTATTTCCTGCATAGTGATTTCCCAACTTAATCCCCTGCTCGAGAATCAAATGGAGCTGGTTTCATTTGTGTGGTCAGGCTGTAGCCCGAGGTGCCCCAGCTGCTGAAAGCTCTTTAATGTCCTRCTCAAAGACACAGCACAGGAGGATCCAGCTGACTCCAGGGGCTGCCAGTTTGCYTCAGTTTCACCCATTTGATCACAGTTCCTAAACTGCAAGAAAAGACCTCCCTCCTCTAAATATTGGTTACCCCAGCCTGAGGTGCTCTTAGGGGAAGGTGAGCCTCTTTAAAAGATGAAACTGGAAATATTGGAGCATTTCCCAATTTTCTGTTTGCCAACTCATTAGGCTGGGCAAAAGAGTGGTTACTAATTTTGTACCTTTTGTAGGTAGTAAGATTGGTACTACAAGCTCCAAGACCACTGAGTTTACTTCCTTTTATGACAATTTAATCTCCAGCCCTACCTATTTATATTYTAAGAAGGTAATTTAAGSATCAGGTTTGTAYTATTAAAAACAAATTTTGAGAAATCAGTATTTTTAATGTCACCTTTGAAACTGCTGCTAACCAACCTTTGCATAGCTACACATATCAAACTTTCTAGAGGAGACTGTATGAAATTAGGAATTTATCTACAGACTCAGAATTGAAACAGGGCAGTTTCCTAATCCAGCAAAAGGCAAAGAGGAATTTCTCTGCACTGTAACAGCTACTGAGACAACACAGAAAAGCTTCCCAATTGTCAAAGTTGTGGGAGGATGAAGCTATGGTGCWAAATTCTGGGAAGAAGATCCAAGGTAACACGTTATCACAACAACAAATCAAAATTTAAATGAATCAGGTGTAGCACAGGCAATAAACACCATTCCACTCTCACCCAAAACAAAGTGAGGAACTTGTTAGTGAGACACCACTGTAACTCTCTGTTAGTTTTAGTTTCAACTTGTTCACAGTCACTGTCATGTTATCAGCACAACTAAGTGCAATTTTCTGTGACACATCAATTAGAAACTGTGATTATTCTGAGATTTCATCCAGCCCAGAAGATAAAGCTTTAACCATAACTCCCAGAAAACCATGACTTATACAATACTGCACTGCCTGTTAGGAAGCTGTCAACACCAGACTTAATACTGGCCTAATTATATCTTGGGTTTGATGTGTTAATTTGTAAACACATTAGACAAGTCAATAAAAGCTTTAATTTTCAAGTATGAAACCTATGAACTGCATAACCAAGTGTGTATCATTCAGTAATAATAATTAGAAGGGTGATTTTTTTTTTCCTCCAGGTTTTCATTCGACCAAAAATTTGAAGAACCCCCCATTCTACAGACAAATTTGTAAAAGAGAGGTATCAGTAACAACCACAGTGTGCTACACAACTGCTCCCAGAGAGAAGGGAACTGTACCAAAGGCTTCTGATAGCTCTGAATCCTCAAGCCCAGAAGATGTGACAAAGATAACTCTGTCTTTTATCATTCATTTGTTTCCACAGCTGGGCAATAAAGGCTTCAGGTGGCTTTTGGGCTGCATTTGACACCACCAGGGCCAGGCATTCACATTCACTGTCCTGATTACCCAGATCTTTTCCTTGTACTCATTTGCACCCAGTTGTTAAATCACATCAAGGCAGCTTTGGGCTGCCCTCCTCCCCTCCCCTCTCTCGGCAGCTTTCATCAGCAAATCCTTTCACCTGCCCAGCAGGTAAACCCAGCAAGGGGGAGAGAGGGGGGCCGGAGGCAGCAGAGGTTACAATGCAGCCTTTCAGCAGAGCTGAAATAAGAAACTGGAGTGCCCACAAAGTGCCCTCCTTCTCAAAAGAGCCTTTGTTTCTTTGGGGCAAGGTAGGAGGTTTTTTTTTTTTTTTCATTCTCCACAGTTTTGTCAGACTCAGGCAAGCCTGGTGTCAGCGGCACTGACAGAAATGCTTCGTGTCAGTCATATTTACTGCAGGAAAAATGTGGCCAAGCTGAACAGTTGCTCTCAGCCCACACTAAAACTGTGCCGATGAAATTCTGTCTTCCTCCTTTCCCTTGTCTCTGCTTCTCCTCTCGGATTGTTTTATGACAGAGCAGAGACAAACCCCACCAGAGGCAACACAAAGCCCATCCCTTTGTTAGTTCATCTTTTGAAGAAACAATGAAGCCTGTATGTGCTAACTCGGCTTTGCACAGACACTAATTCAGAGTTCAGGTAAGCTGTCCATCACACCCAGCAGCAAAGGGGGCAGGAAGGCTGAAAACAGGGGAAAAAAACACAAAGCCATAAATTAAATGCAATGTTCCCAGTTGGGAAACATTCAGCTGTAAGACAGGCTGGTTCACCTGTGTGTTACCCATCATCTCGTCTGACAATGCCAGCCTGAACATGTTCCTTCTGCAGAACTTGGACTGAGCCAAAGGCATCCAAATACTAATTCCAAAAGCAGGATAAACTCAAAGAAGTAGACTGCCAARTCCACATACCTTATCCTTCATTCTATCCACCGAGCTAAAAACAGATTCTTGCAACAGGTACACACAAGCAGGGGAAGTTCTTACTCACACAGAGAAACAGATATGCAAAGCTAAGTGACTAGCAGAATTTAGGAAGGTGTTTTTTTGAAACAAACACAAGTTTGAAGAGTTTGAAGCGCTAGTCCAGTCATCAATCAGTCCTTTAAAACCATCTGGAGCATCTCTTACCCGGAACAGAAATGCAAGAGAGAGKCAGTAAAAAGATCACAGCCTATTTATACCTGTCAGAGTAAACAAACAAACAAAAATCCACCACCACACAAATTAAACAGACTTTAAAATCCATTCTAGGTCAGCATGGTCAAATACATTCCACTATAGGATACTAAATCTGTATAAATCTGCATTTATATTCAGCTCCAGTGTAAAACGAGGGCAGGAATCCCCAGCACCTTTAAGGCACAGACCTTCYCTTTAGTCATGGCCCGCATCACACACTGAAGAGGTGCAAATCCACCRTGCAATTTCTCTGATCAGCAACTTTGCAGTCCCACAAAATATTTCCCAAGCAGGTTCTTAACCAGAAGTCTTTCAAATACCTCAAATAACAAGTGTTTTAAAACCTGCTTACCAGCACTAATGGGCTTGCTCTAATAGCACATTAGAGCAGGACAGCCTTGGCACACAGAGCACTATGATTCTTGGCTCCTTGGAGCCACAACCTTCAACAGCTCAGAATTAAGGTCTGACTTTCCCAGATTTTCTCAGTCTGGCTAGCTGTGAGTAGATGTTTATTGGATCAAAGGGTAGAARCTTTCAAATGACCCATTATCTCTGGAAATACTGGAATGGGAAACACAAGACTTGGGAAAAAAACCCTCACTTTTATGCAAGAAAAAAGTGTAAAAGATTCTGTGTATAATGTTCATTCTCTTCTGATTCATATTAGAAAAGAACAAGTTACTGTGGCTTAAAGGTGCAAATGCATTTTACAAGGCCTTTAATTACCAAGCTGTTAATGAGAGTAAGTCATTAGGAAGTGCCCAAAGTAGGTGTCTCCTAGAAACAAGATGCAATAGCTACCTTCAGGACTGAATCAAATGGAGTCACAAATCCTGATGTCAGCTTCTAATATATTTGGAAGTTTCCCTCTGTTGCAAAAGCTACCTCTTTCAACCCTGTTTTGCATTATCCAAATTAGTGTGTCTCTGGCAGGTAAAGCTGAGCCAAACATTCTCATAAGTGAAAGGGATATTCAAGGAAGAGACATCCTCAAAATAACAAAGGTTTTTCCAAGATATATATAATTTTATACGCTCATAAGCAATTCTGACCCATCGCAATTCTGACCCATCCCTAGGATGTCTTTTCTGAAGCTGACATTGCATTCAGCTGGATGCAAACAATTCAATCCTGGTCTGCATTCAGTGATTTTCTACTGCATCTGCACTAGGATTTCCTCGTGGTAGCAGGGCAGAAAACAGACCTGAAACCCTTYTGAGTTCCTTTGTCTCTCCAAGGGCAGGGAGGTATGCATGGAATTGGTGTCACTTAGTACTGATCACATTAAWTCATTCACCTCAAATATCCACAGTTCCACTTCAAGTATCCATCCACACTACAGTTCTAACGAATCAAAGAGGCTATTTCCTAGGCTGATTTCATTTATCCATTATGCTTTTCAGCAAAATTCCATTTAAATCTCGGAAACACAAATCCTACRACGATATTTCTGCTCCCCAAAGAAGGTGTAAGTAGCCATTAGTCTAGCAATGATTTAATACCAGGCATTTCTAGAGATAAAAGCACTGTGCTCCTGGCCAGGGCTCAAAAGAAAATGCCCAGTGTTGGATAGATAGCACAGCCATTGCCATTTCTTCTTCAGAGAGGGAAGGGAAAAAACCTAGAAACAGATTCAGACTAAGATAATAGTAAATTCATTATTAATGGCCATTGTGCTGCCTAGGTGCTAGCACAGCCTTTTAAATTCACATTTAAAAGCAGAGGCATACTTGTAAAGCCAAAGTATGATCAGGGACAAAGAACTCTGGTTTCAGCTGCATCACAAGCTGTGGCTTTTGTGTATCTTTAGAAAAATGTTTATTTAGAAAAAGTTTTTATTTAGAAAAATGTTTATTTTCCTAACAAGGACTACCTATGGCAGAAAGAGTCCCAGCACATAGCACAGCAAGTGACAGACCACTCAGAAGATAAAAAAGTTGCTGTGAAGATGTCTTCTTACAGCAAATGCCACCCAACAGCATCACAACATCTTTCCTCTTAAAAAGGAGAGCCAGAATTGAGAACATGCCCAGGAGCTTAAAGGAAACTACTCAGRCACATCGAGGGGAAAAAGGGACAGAACTGAGAAAGAGAACAAACCACCTCTCCTAAATTTAACTTTTCCACCCACACTCAAGTAGTTTATCCCTCCCTTTGCAGGGTGCAGTGGCTCAGAATAGATTTGCCTTGAAGTCTGAGGAAAGCCCCGTACCTTGTTAAACTGGAAAAGGTCGCGTTTGAGCCTCTCTCGCACTGGATCATGTCCGGCTCTTAAGAACCTTCTCATCTTCCTCGCTGTAGTATCTTGGCAACAAAAATCCTAACAAAAGAGAAAAGCAAAGCCATATAAACAAAGGCAGCCTGAGCAGAAAGCAGGCAGAAGTAGGTTATTTATTTTGGTTTAGCAGGTAACAAATCAGCCAGAGCAGACTGAGACAACATCACTATCGAGTGACTAAAACCTGACACCAGCCCAGCACAGCTCTCTGGTGCAGCACCTTACAAAATTCCATTTTCACAATGACAAAGCAAACCAGTACAGATAAAAAAAAGAGGATTTTAAAAGGGGTCTTGCACTTGGCCATTTTGTGATCCCTTGAGCTGACCTTATCCAAAGAAAAGGCAAAACTGCAGTATTTGCATAAACGTTCAGACAAACCCAACTTAAAGGCCAACTCCCAGGCTCAGGCATTATTGACTAGCATCAGKTCTCACCCCAGGTAACCCTCCAGCTATTATTGAGTCAAAAAGAGAAAGAATCTCATTTTCAGGTCTCTCCATGGGCACGGCAGAAAGGGCRCTGTGCTGCCTGCAGGGGAGCCGCATTAATTATTAACTTGCTTTTGTAAAATATCAAGCCAAACTCCCTGCTGGAGATGGGGGTAGGGGAAGGGAATTCTGCACCTGCAATTCACCGTGCAGCTGAAGCACAACCACAGCCTGTCCCAGTGCCTGGTGCCTCACAACAACAGGAGGATCCAAACAGGAAAAATCAGACCTGACATGGGGAATACCAGGCTCCAATCTCCTGTTCTGTCCAGCTCAGGAGACTGTCACATCTCCCCTCTGCAGAGGTGTTAAGAGACAAGCAAAACTCTGCCATCTCAAGAGCAAAGGTTTAAATTCACATCCTGACAACTCACCCTGGTRTAAGAGCTCCTGCTTGCCTTGGCCATCTCTCACAGGCTGCAGTTTACACACACTCCACTTGGTATTTTATTTTAATTTGTTGGGCARGGAGCAATTTGCCAGCTGCTCTGCACACAACACATGTACAGTGGTGGTCAGAACTTGTGGGGTGCAATGAAGAATCAGAATGGATCTTCCACGTCAGAAGAGGTTCATACACACCTACAGCAAGGTGGGGAGGAGGCTGATGTATGGGAAAGAAAAGGAYCAGGAGCACCACAGGGGGACTGACAAGTGAACAGAAAGCCTTGRACCTTCAAAAGTGGGGCTGGAGGTGTGAGTGACTGAGGGGAGGAGTTTTCACATCTGTACAGATGGGAATAGCCCAGCTGGAAACAAGGTGGTTATCTCTGAGCTCCTGCCAGCAACAATGGCCTTTGGAGAATGACTTAAAGCAGCCATTCCTGAGGAGCTCRAGCTGTTTTTCAAAGGGTTCCTAGCAAGGCCTTGCACCAGCTGTGAAGGTCCAAAAGAAGGAAATGGTGTGATAAACAGGATGCTCCACAGGCATATTTTGAGAACTCYCTTTAGAAACTCCCTGAGCTTGAACTTGTACCCCTTTGTTGCACTACTGCCCTTTTACCTTCCCTGCTCACACTCCAGCATCTCCAGCACCTGTGCAGCAGGGCCCTGACCTCCCCAAAGGGCTGCGATGCAGTCCTGGCTCAGAGGAGCAATCACAGGGTCACTTAGTCCCTAGAATGACTAAGATCACCTAGGTGACATTCCAGGCACCTCGATCACTGGCAGCATCAATCACCATGAGGAAAATCTGGCTCTGAGCAGGGCAGCTACAGGAATCTGTGTTTGTGAGCCATCAGCACATGCAGGGGTGAAGAATGTGCACAGAAACAATGTATGAGAACCCCCCCAAAAAAGGGGAAGAATAAAAATGTAGTTCACTTGGAAAGTAAGTCCTTCTGCAGTGATTTAGTACCTCAACGGAAATTTCCAAAATAGTATCAGATCATAAGTCTTCTTTCACCAGACATCCCTGAGAGAGGGRTGTATTTTCACAAAGCTACATTCACTTTAAGTTAGCAAAAGTTACAGAGCAGTGACAAGGCTCTGTGCAATGAAAGGAGAGYGTATCACACCCATGTATAACACACAACTTGCCCTTAGCCAGACAAGGAAAGGAAAGTGCCAAGGAGACGCACCCTTTCCCTCTGTCAATCAATATCCTGGACCTGTTAAACGAGGCAAACCCACAGAGAAACTCTGCTAATTACCCTTCCCACTTTAGAACAAGAGACCTCAGCTGTGCCAGCAGAAACAAAACTCGGTGTCAGGAGCAAAGAAAGAAGAGAGGGTTTGATTTGAGAGAGACACAACTTCACATTGAGCACCTCGCTAGAATGTTTTASCCTGAAATATTAATTGCATCCAGAAGCGTGCAGCTTGAGCCTGCTTATGCAAGAGCTCCAACACTCACACTCCAGCCCACAACAACTTGTTCAACAGGCTGAGAAGTGTGGTAGTTCTGAACTGAGCAGTAACTCACTTGAAGAACCATCACCCTGAAGGGCTGAGAGGATCAGAGAAGGCAAACTATGAAAGTCACCTCTCATTGAGTGATACCAGAGCTTCTTTCTGAGCAAACAGACCTTGAGTGTCACAGTACAGGAGARGATGGGAGGAAAAGCAGTTTTGAGCAAAGGCAACAAAGGAACAGCATCCACTGCAGCACAGGCTGTCCAAGCAGAGTTATCATCACAAGTTTACAAGGCTCTTATCGAAGAGAAGCATTTTGGTTTTAATACAATAAGCAAGCATCTCTTCCAATTCTAGAAATAGATTCCACAATCTGCATAATCTTATCTTCCAGATGCACATTTACATTTTAGCAGGCCATTTTCTCTCCCACACACCTTTGGAGTCTTACAAAACTCCAGCCCCATGTGCTCGGCAGTTGTCTGCCAGTCAGCATTTACAASCATCTGGTAACAGTTGTGGCTACAAGTAGCCAGAGAGGAATTCTCCAGTAGCCTCTGAAGCTATGCCAGGTCTGCATGTATCTCATGTTCTCATTTTCCAGGGAAACAATTCTTTAGGCTTTCAAAGAGGAGTCTTTTACCAGAAACTATGYGCAACATTCTCTTCTTTCAAGATGCATTGAGGGCAGCTGTTTAGAGGCAACAATAGCCCAAGGCTGAGCCAACCCAAGTTTTGGTGGCACTGAGGACATGGACACCTGACAGCAGAGCTCAGAGTGCCCTGTACATAGAGTTCCTACTGCCCTGTTACCTGAATGTTCAGCTAAATACAACCACGTCCCCTTTTTCACCTCATTTGATGAGATCCTGACACAAAGCAAAGTCTCACTATTCATACAGAAAAGCAATGAAAGCACAAGTTGCAAGACAATCCTGTTTCCAATCACAGACTAAGGAGCAGTTTAAYATCAAAACCAGATTTCACTCTGTCTTCCATGCTCAGCTCCCTTCATTTCAGATGCTGTGAGAACCCTCATTCAACAGAAGGACAAATGCTTCTTCCCAGGAGCAGCATTAATTGTTCCTCACTGCTGAGTGTTACCAATCCAGAGCTCCACGTTTTCCTTTGGCTTCCTTGCTTCTGCACACGTGTCTTGGTGCCCATGAACAGCTTGCTGAGACACTCTCCCATCATTTTCTCCATCAGCTTGGCACAGGCTTTGCAGGGAATTACCCTGTGCAGAAATTTGTTGAAATTTTTCCTTATGTCCTCCCATGAGAGCAGAGTTTCCAGCCAAAATGTTGTAAGTCCCAATCACACAAGTTAATCCAGTCTTGCAAGAAGAGGAAGCCCAGGTCAGAAGTTTTTACTACGTAGACAGTATTAAGTGTGGATGCAGTCTCAAGTTAACCCCACAACAAAAACATACTCATAATGAGTTTATTTTGCTCACGTAGCAGAGTTGCAAGGTACCATCTGTGTGCTTCCTTGGCAACCTTGACTCAACTTGCACAGGTTTTCAATGGGATACAGTCCAAGAGCTTTCTTTTCAAAATGCCAGCAAAGATCTCGAGAACTCTTAAATCCTGCCTTGGTTTAGGTCTCCTTCTCATTCCTCCCTCAGCACTCCTTCCTGCTCACAGGTCCTYAGAGAGAGAACTTCTACCCATGCATCTGATAACACTTTATCAGCAATGCTAAAATAAAAGAGGCCTTATCAAGCAGCTTTGTTTGAATTCCAGGCAGTTGGTGCTGCTGTAACAAACMGTCACTGCCATGGCCTTGTCTGAACCAGGTTCTCTCCTGCACCCAGGRGTTTGCCTTGTTGCTGTTACCAACACAGTCAGCAGCAACAGAGCAGAGGCTGGGTCACTGCACAGCAAAAAGCTCTTCCTTAGACCAGTGATCTCACACCAACTGAGCAAAGTATCACTTAATTACCAGACTTACCACATTTATCAATTACAGACACCGTGACTCACTGTGAAAGGATGAGTTTAAGAAGAATTTTAGCTTGCAATCAATGAAATGAGCCCAAACTATTCTTTAACTGTTCATCTCTACCACTCTGCTTAGCTGTGACACGCTGTCAAGGCAGATACTCAAGAAGAAAGCACAAGCCAAGCAGAACAGCTAAAGCAAGGGAAGGAGCAGTTGCAGTGCACAGGGAGAAGTGTAAGACATCACCTCCTTTTCCCAGGATAAGGAAGATGCTCTAACATTAATCTCAATTTAATGAGACCATGCAGAGATCTCCCTTACACAACTGCTGAGCCATTGCTACCCCCCAGCACCTGCAGTTTCATAAACAGCACAGTGTTCAGGTGCACCTTGTATACAGCAGTCAGAGAGGAAAACCAGAAGATCCTCTAAAAAGGATTTCATAAAGAAACACTAYGTGTGTGTGGCTGCCCTCCCAAAACACAGACAACATTAAATAAAATATCCGAGATTGATTCTCCAAGGCCTCATTGAAAATAATTGAGAACCAATCACACAACTCAGGCGAGTTCATGTACTTCCACAGCCTTGTGCTGGAGTTACCAGGAACCGCCCACCTGCAATGAATTTGGGAATTGTGCAAACCTTGTGTGTCATTATGACTCCCATTGTGTTCTCCTTGTCATGGGGGCATGACAACACAAAGTTTCAAAACGCTACAGCAGAACAAAGTCTTTGCACTGAACAACATCATTGCAAATGATGCAAAACCCTTTGTAGGCTTTGCAAAGGAGTGTGAATCAAACAGAAGAATGGCTTGTAACTTTGGAGCAGCATTTTACACACAGTGGGTCAGTGGAGCAAACCACAAAAGCATTTGTTTCATAAAGCTACACAAAGAGACCCAGCTATGAGAAACKTTTATATGAGAACTGGAGTTGCCATACAATTTCTGCACAGAAACCAAATCAGCCCCTCCTTTTATATTTTAATGAAAGATGAAGGTATTAACAGTATCACATACTTTTATTGCCAGGTATTAACTGCAAGACATATGTTTGAAACCTCCCTTGCTCTTTGACATTTCTCAAGCCTCTATGTCAGCCAAGAAAAGACACACCTCTTCCATAAGCAATTCCCGGGAATAATTACGTTACCATACCAGAAGGCCACTGGAAGATAAAGAGCTCTCAACTGGTTTAACTCCTGCAACACTTCTCTTTGGTCAGCTGTTGCAGCAGATGAAATTTGTTCAAAAACCAAACAAAAGACATTCCTCAGCACCATTCCTGTGAAGATGTTTGAGAACTCTTCTCCCTTTCCAATGCAATGAGTTATATGGAGCCCCTTGAGAGGCTACAAGCAGCACTGAGCAGGATTAGGGACTGCTCACTCCTGGCACAGATCATCCTCATCTCCTCCATGGRCCAGGCTGTCCTTACAAGGAACGTGCCAGGATGCACGCTGGGATGTACCAGCACTTTGCATTCCGCTTGCCAGAAGCACCAGCTTCCAGAATCAAAGCTAAGATCACCAGGCAGCTGCTTTGGGCACTCAGCTTCAGCTGGGACTGGGTAAAGCCAGATATTCCAGTTGACTGAAGTGCTCTCAAATGACTACAAAGAGCAGCATTCCCCATCAAGTGAGACCTGACAATAGACAACTTTTACTTCTACAATCTCAGCAGAGCTGTCCCCCTGTCCTGTCACGATCCCCACAACAGCACGAGGCTTTGTGCCACTGACTGCAGAAACACAGACCCAGAGTCTGCTTCAGCTGCTCCACACCATCAACAGCACCAAACACAAACACGCAAAGCTTTCTCCAAAGCCAAGGTTAAGCCTCTCCTGCAGGAGGGGAGATACCAGCAACAGCCTGTTCCCGTGGCACAATGAAGGACAACCTGAAACAAAGGCTGAACAACTTGTTTCACTGTTTTGTTACACCTGTTTGCTGCCTGCTGGAAGTAAAGTGCTCCCTCATCCAGCAAGTTCTCACAACTTTGGGAAGGGAAAAAAAGCCYCACACTAACAGTGACAAGATGCATTTAATACGRGCAGAGRGAAAAGAAAAAAAAA